ATATAACTGATCCAAACAAATTTTATGATATGAATTATTACAGAATTAAAAAGTTAAATTGTCTACTACATAATCATGGAGGCTTTAAGGCCACTGATGGAATAACAGTTCGTTGTAGTTGGGTTTAAATCTTCGCATTTGCAATGTTTGTCACAAATATGTTTTAACGTGTGAAGATTTACAATTGATACATCTGCCAGATCTTCATTCTCAATTAATTTTACACATTGCTTACATCTGAAAAAATAATATCAATAAAATCACATTTTATTGAACAAATAGAATGTAAGCAGTCACAATTGATAATACAGTTTCTAAATATAGCTCGTTTCGGAAGCTCATCCTATCCAACTATCAGAGTTAGGAAATAGAGTGTGTTTGTATTTGTGCACAAAATCATACCTTATGAAAACCTGTCCTACGTAGATGATGACTAGTCTAGGGTGATACTAGCGTCCGTGATCGAAGTTTGGTTTGGGTTTACGTGCAGCGTCGGCAGATTTAGTACATTTCTACTTTTTTAGTAGATTTGGGCCTTCAGGAACATATTTCAATACCTTTGGTTTTGGAAATTTTGGTTTACTAACGAGATCTGTGTTAACTAAAAAAAATTTTGTAAATTAGGTAACCCCTTAACTAAGGATACCCCTTCATTAAATTTAAATTAATTGAACGAAATTAGCGGTAATTTCTTTCAATTAATTTAACTTTCAACTGATATGCAATTTGTTTAATAATAAAATGAAGCCTTTTATTATTAAGGCCTTTTATTAATTTACTATTAAGTACTTAAATAAATAAAAGCGAGAGGGAGCAGCCTTTCTTTCTTCAGCTAAGAATAGATAATGTTGTTAATTTGTGATTATAACACTGAAATAAAAGTGTTTTGTAGTTATTTCATTAATATGCAAATCGAAAATATGATCAAAATAATTTTGTAGAGATCCCTCTTGCTCCCGCAAGGTAGTCATTTTTTTTAAATGGTTATCGAGATCGAATAAATATCATTCAGTGCTCATTGCAAGAGTGCATACAACAAAACAGCAAAAAAATATTTTTGACCGAGTTAACATAGGTAATTCAGATCCATAAATTAAAATCAAGAGTTTGTTGTGTCTAACAACAAACAATTAATATTTTTATGTAATCAATCTGATAAGCAATATGAATCAATAAATATTATGTTATCATATTAATCCTTTTAAAATGCGGCTACTGTTTTATTTGATATTAGGTAGAAAAAAAATTTGTTAGTAGAATTTAATTGCGTTTTAGTAGATTTGTCAAATAAAAGTCACGTCACGCTGTCTACGTGTCGTATGGTTAGTGGTTATCACAGAGACAATAGTATACGTGTCATTGTGTCATTAGTGATGAATCGATTCGATTATTTTGACAAGCAATTATGCCTTATAGGTTAAATCGATTAATGATCGATTGAAAGAATCGATTAGTTGTACTAATCGATTTCTGTATATCCTGTTCCTTTAACTAAAAAAATCTTAAAACTTTTTTTTTTGTAAAAACAATCCACTTTGCATTTGCGTGTCTTGCATCTCAGTTTTCTAAATGAGTATTACAAACAATAATGCATTACAAACTTAACGAAGGAATTTTTTTTATAAAACTTAGGAGACAAACAAACTTAGTCCACGTGATGTTAGATGGCTATTGCAGCCCATGCACAGCTGCAGTCAATTTGAAACAAAGAGGGCTACATTTGTGTCGTCACATTAAATGCATGTATACATTTTGAAGTGGCTGCTATGCATGCAAATTTAATTGAGCGAGTAGAATTAAATTATTTATTTAGAATTTAAAAACAACATAGTAAGTATTGTTATTTTCAACATGACATAATCAGTATTGATCGTCATTAAAAATTACTTCTTTTCTTTAGATACAATTTTAGAAGCTCCATTATAACCAGTAAAGGCAAATCTTTGCGTTTACTGCTTATAAGTCTTATAACTACTAAATCAGTTAATAAACTTTGATATTTAAGTATTTTCTTACTGTTATTTACATAATAGTGTATTATTTTTAATACACTATTATGTAAATAACAGTAACAGGCTTTTGATGCGCTTCATTTTTCACCACCTCTCTTTCAACAACAATTCAAACTAACTATTATTTGCTAAACAATTCAATTTTGTTTAATGATTTCTTATATTTACGCGAACACTACACATTTAAATAAAACGAATTTTTCTGATTTTATCGCGTATATTAACTTATTTTTATATTCCCGACGTTTCGGGTGCTTTCCAGCACCCGTGGTCACGGGGGACTGAGGTGTTTGACGTCCTGCTATTATAGTTAGCCAGGGTACCTTCAGTTTTTTAATATTAATTTAATCGAACCAAAAATTAATATTAAAAAACTGAAGGTAGCCGGGCTAACTATGACAACAGGACGTCAAACACCTCAGTCCCCCGTGACCACGGGTGCTGGAAAGCACCCGAAACGTCAGGAATATAAAAATAAGTTAATATACGCGATAAAATCAGAAAAATTAGTTTTATTCAATTTTGTTTGTTATCTCATATCTCAAATAACTATCATCAGTATCACTATGACACTGACACTTCGTAAGGGTACGTTCCGAAGTTTTACTGTGTTTTACTTACTTTTTAATCTAGTTCCTATTTTTGGATCATCAAAACCAGTAAAGTATTCATACTATGGGGCATTTCTTTTTTCTGCTTATTAAACTGGTTGATGTATTATGCAACATTAATCCTTATGACAGTTCTACGGATTTACGCATAACTTATTTTAATTCTTACTTCTTTTATCACCTCAACCTTTCAGAAATTGAAAATCATTGCCGAAAGCGAATCGAAGGTGCCATTTTATTAAATAGAAGAAAACTTTACTGCTACAAAATGTTTTTATAATCGATTACAAGATCGACCACGAAAATCATAATCGATGATGGTCGATTATTAGAATTATCGATAAATCGATAACGCCTGTCATGTGTCAATGTCATAATCATTCTAATTTGGTTTACGGATGTGACATTGAGTGAAAAAAATCGATTAATAAAAAATCGATTTTTTGCTTTGTGATAATAATCGATTTAAGAAAAATCGATTTTTTTTATAATAAATAATCGATTTTTGCGAAAAAATAAATATTTTATTCGAAAAATAATCTTCTGGTTTTAAAAATAAACTACAGAACAATTTTTTTAACATATAACTTTGAACAATAAAAAACTAAAAATAGTTACTGCCACAAATGTTCAGCGCCATTTAACAATTTATTACAACCAAAATAAACAGAAACGATAAATTAAACTAAGTTTTACGGATTTCATCGCTTTTAATTCAACTTTGTAATTCCCGACATTTCAGGTGCTTTACAGCACGCATGGTCACAGAGGGGACTAAGGTGTTTGACGTCCCTATGTCATAGTTGAACCACAAATCCTCGCAAAAGAACACCAATTCCTACCAAGGCTGATTCGCGAGGCTATCGAAATTAAAAAACATCCTAATTTCAATAGAGAAGATGGATGGGTGCTGCCATCTGCTTGGGATCCCATAATTAATAAAATCAAATCCAAACCCAAGTATACCACTGCTAGACTTCAAGATACTGTAAGCTCATTCTGCGTAGATCGGACCAAAAATTAATATTCAAAAACTGAATTTAGCCAGGCTAACTATGACATCTGGACGTCAAAGACCTCAGTTCCCCCCGTGACCATGTGTGCTGTAAAGCACCCGAAGGTCAGGAATTAAAAAGTTAAATTAAGCGTGATCAAATCCGTAAAAATTAATTTCATTTAATGTGTAGTCTTCGCGTAAATATAAGAAATCATTAAGAAACCATAATTTTAGTAAACGATAGTTTTTTTAAACTAAGTTTAAAAAAAGTCTAAATATCACTATGCCACTAATGTTCAGTATCATTTACATTGGATTAGAATGAAAATAAAATAAAAATATAATTATAAATAATCCGACGACAACCTTTTGATCGCAAAACTAAAATACAAGATAAATCTTTTTTTAAACTTGTGTAAACAAAAAAGTAAAAAAAATATTGCCATGAGTTTTCAGTCAAAGACTTTAAAAACAATCATTTCACCAAAATTCTTCTTCGTCTCTTTCCCAAAATACGGTTTCGTTTTTTCCTGACAATATTTCCCGCTTTCAAAAATAATCTTTCAGCTGGCGCGGAACTGGCCATCACTGAGAGGTGTTTAAAAGCCAATTCGGTTAGTTTAGGGAAAGTTCCTTCAGAGCTTCTCCATATATTCGGGGCATCTGCCTTGAGATTTGATAGTGGTGCCGCAATATATAGATCTAATTCAGTATTTTTGCCTATTGACGTGTTGACCGCTATCATTTTTTCATTATAAAATACTTCTGTCAGTCACTTTTATGCGTTTCACAAGACATTTTTATTGTTTATATATAATTGTTTACACAAACCAAAGAAAGAAAGAAAACCACAGAATACTTTTACTCCTAGCGGAAGAAGAAACCTGTTGAAAACATACGAAAAGCGAAACTGTTTTACATACATAGAGATACATAAAGGTGGCGCCGTCTTTTGATTGACTGATTCATGTTATTGACATTGTAACTTCACGTTTTTATATCCATCGCACAGATGACTCTGATTACAAAAATCGATTGAAACGCGTAATTTACATAAAAATCGATTTATTAAAAATCGATTTTTATTATTAAAATAATCGACTTCGAAAAATCGATTATAAGAAAAGAATAATCGATTAATATAAAAATCGATTATTTTTTCACATCCCTAATTTGGTTAACTGGGTAACCGGTCAACTTTCCTGTGAAGGAAATAAATAACCAGTATTATTATTCATCAAGGAATTTAAAAAATACTCTCTGCATTCTGATGAGAGCTTTTAGTGATAATTGCTAAATTTCATACAAATTGTTATTAGAATTTAGGCGAATTTTAATCCAGTAAAAATAGCTAGGAAAAAGGCTAAAGCTCTCATTGCAATGGCTGTTATTGGAACCGTTTTTGGTTTCCTGTTTCTCTTTTCTTCTGCTTGGACTGAAGAAACTCCAAAGGGACCGAAAGTTACACACAAGGTAAAGATTTAGGTCGCTTTTTAATAAAAGTGTCTTTTAGATCAACTTGCTTTTATTTGAAATAAACGTGTTAAGGTCACCGAACTTTTGTTATGACGCTCATGTGTCGATTTAGCACCGCCTTTGTTATCCTATTACTGGTTTTTTGATAGGTTAAATCTTTAAGTAGTGTGATTGGATAAAATTTTTGCTTATTATCACAATGCCCCTACATTTAAATTACTTATGTTTAAAAATTTAACTTGATATTATTTTCTTATGTTTTCATTGCTTTATTTTTGAATTAAACAGGTTAGTTTTGATATCACTATTGGTGGTGAGCCAGCTGGCACTATTGTAATTGGCCTCTTTGGTAAGACAGTGCCTAAGACAACAGAAAATTTCTTCCAATTAGCACAAAAACAGGAAGGTGAAGGTTACAAGGGAAGCAAATTCCATAGAGTTATTGAAAACTTTATGATTCAGGGTGGTGATTTCACTAAAGGAGATGGAACTGGTGGTGAGTTTATTATAAAAATATTAAGTGCTTGAGGCTGTCTCCAAAAAATTTCTTTAATTAGAACAGAAATTGCAGGTTTAGAAGTAGGGATGCAGGAAGTACCAAAAAGTATAGATATAATATCGTATCAATATTTTAAGAAAATATAATTTCAAAATATTGAAAAAATTTAGTAAGGTAAGCAAACTTAAAAAACACATTGTAATTGTCTTATGATAAATGGAATGTGTGTGAACCTGTCAAGACATGAATATGTTTTAGATGGATTGGTAGAATTCATTATGCATGTTTAGCAATGATTGAAAAATTATTATAAAGAGGTTTTTACAAAAGTTATTTGTATTGTAAAGGTATATGTTGTATTAACTTTATTTCAAAAAATTTGTTAAATCAAGGAAATTGTTATATTGAGGTCTTTTATACTTAGGTTGTACTGTATATGCTCTAGGTTTTAGAAAACTTAATTTCACTAGTTTTCATAAATTCACAGAATACTGAACTTTCATTCTATAAGTATAGGATAGGTGTTACAAAATTTGGTGCAGGTATAAGATGAATAAAATGGTTGATTGCCTCATTGATCTAGTAGTTGGAGGCATGACTGGTAATCATACGATCACAGGTTTGTACCTAGATTGAGCCAGTCAGCTTGCTTTGAGAAAAAAGTAAAACCATTGGTCCTGTGTCCGATGCTCTATAATTCTATTACATTTGTAAATGGCTAATCTTTGTTGAGACTGGCTACCATGACCGAAATTTAGTTTGAAGGACATTATTATTATTTCCAAAGGATATTTAATACATTTAATGTCAATTAAGTGTTTTGAATTTAAAAGTTAAATCATATTATTATTTTAACAGGACGGAGTATCTATGGTGAAAGATTTGCAGACGAAAATTTCAAACTCCGCCATTATGGTGCTGGCTGGCTATCTATGGCCAATGCTGGAAAAGATACAAATGGATCCCAGTTCTTTATTACTACTATTAAAACTCCTTGGTTAGATGGCAGACATGTAGTCTTTGGAAAAATTTTGGAAGGCATGGTATGTTTGTTGCATATTTAATTTTTTGTCTGTAGTTTTTAGATTCCTCAATTTTTTTTTAACTTTTACTGTGAATATGTTGATAATTTATGTCATACTTCAACGACAGTGGAAAAAGCACTTGCTGTTTTTCTTGATGTCTCTGAGTCCTTTGATATGGCTTGACTTGCTAGACTTTGGGCAAGCTTCCAGCGTATGACTTATCCCTTGTATATATTATTGTACTTATCTTGTTGACTGACCGAAGCATTTTATTGTAAATTATGATTATAATCACCTGAGAAAAAACCAGGCTTAAAAAATTCAGAGACTTTTTGGCTCTGCCTCTCTGTCTATATGTACTGGCTGCACAATGGAAACAATTACCCCATTTAAGTAGTTGAGTCACTGAATCACCAAAGACCTGAGTAGTATTGTCATTCAGGTCAGAAGGAGCAAAGGATCAGAGCAATTTAATATGTTGGCCTACAGGTTTGCATACTGCTAAATAGGTTAATGTTACATACACTATTCAAAGGCTATTGTCAATCCTTCTATACATGTAGCGTGTGGGTGTAACTATACTTGGGGACTTTACAACGATCTGCACATCCAATGCAATAATGCATTAAGGATTCTAATGGGGTTGCCATGGTAATATAGCACCTCAGGTGTGTTTGCAGTCATATGTTGATGGATTAGAAGCCATAATGTGCAAAAGTCGTGCCTCCATACTGAGTTTTATGTGGGCTAGCACCAACATCAACCAAAGTGTGTTAGCGGACTGAAGGGGTTCACCAAGGTTGGGGGTGTTGAATAAAACTGCATACTGTAAATTAGACATGCCCTGACCTTGGTTAGTCTGTTAATTATATTTAATTTAATGTAACTGCTAACACTAGGTTAAAGGTATGACTTCACCCATGTAGAATTTACTACAATTTCAAGGGTTTTAATTATTTTGCATGGAACCCTGATTCTTTTTCTAAAATAAAAGTATCTTAAGTTACTCCTTATAACATCAGCTATCTGCCAGTGATAGCCCCGTCAATATCGGTCCAGCCGTTTTGGAAATTAGCCGGAACAGACAGACAGACAGACAAAAATGTTAAAAATTGTTTTTTTTTGTTATTAGTACTGTATATATACTTTCATATGCATTTAGTAAAAAGCTGTTATTTTAAAATTACAAACAGACACTTCAATTTTATTTATTTGTATAGATTAACAAATAAGGACAATTGGTGGTATTTTTATTATTTTTTCTGTAAAGGAGGACTACCTTCTGACATGAAAAAAGCCAGAAATATTTTATGGCCTAAAATCTGTTGGTGTTTTATATCATAGTATACCATACTTAATCAAATACCAACTATAGTGATAGGAAGTAGTATTATATATTATATTGTAAACTAGACATGGAACGAGTAGTGATTCACCAAGTACTTGGCCACTGATCACTCAGCCTAGATTGGGTCGAGTACTCGGCTTTAAAAAACGCAGTAGTGGGAGGCGTGCGATTATTTCCCTTAAAAACTTGACCCAAATAGGACCGAAAAACTAGTGTTTTTGCATCACAATCTTCCTCTCTTAAATTTGAAATATTAGTAATAATAATTTCTATTATAGATTCTTATGTACGTTCAAAATATTTCTGCAGCTTCTCATGTTCCTTATGTTTTAATGTGTCTAATATAATAATAATGATAAAAACTGGCTCTTTGTCTATTTTTCTCTGGAATATAATTAAAGCCGAGTACTCGATACTAGGCCTTAATACTCAGTGCTCGACCGAACCCTAAAAAAAGGCCGAATCCGCCAAGTACCGAATCCAAACCGAGTACTCTTCCCATGTCTATTGTAAACATCAAGTTCAATTCTCATCAGCTATGACTTTGCCTTAAGCAATTGAACTTGGTGTCCTTGTTTGATTAAGAAATGAATTGTTTGGTTGTTGTAGGAAAACATTATATGGAAAGTCTGCATGTCTCAAATAAGGAATTAGCTGTAGTCTACTAATTCACAGTACATATTGTGGAATATGCACACTTTTTTAATTATAAACAAACTTATTTTTGTCTTACAGGATGTTGTTCGGAAGATTGAGAAAACACAAACTGGTACAAATGACCGTCCTGTTAAAGATGTTGTGATTGCCGACACTCATACTGAAGTTGTTTCAGAACCTTTCAGTGTCTCTAAAGAAAGTGCTCAATAACACAAGTCACAATGATATTAGTTATGTTTAATTTCTTTTATATATGATTTGTGATAAAAATATATTCTCTATCATTTACTTTATTTAGGTTCACAAATTTTCTTTATTTTTTATTTTACTATTTCTGTTAGGTATATAACTCACAAGGTTTTTGATTTTATGCTAAACACTGAGATTTTAGAAAAATAAAGAATATTAAATAAGATTAAGTCATATTTTTTATTTCTTGAATACACAACTCTGCTTCGTGTTTAATTTCATTATTTTTTGAAGTAACTCCAAGTTTCCAGCCTTGTCCACATGATTTCCTAGCTTTGTCTAATAAATTTTTCTTCATATAAATTCTTCCTAGATTCACATATATTGCTCCTAGTTCTTTCATGTCAGGAACTTGTTTGCCTATCTCAATAGCTTGCAAAAGATAGTTGATGCCTTCATCATATTTACCAAGGCAATCGCAAACAGTGGCAATGTCATTCATCTGTAGAATAATATGTTCAGTTTCAATATTTTCTATTTTCACCATTCTATTTAATGAACTTATCATTAAATCAAGTCCATGTTTATCTTTCTCATAGTCTATCAATAACCTACCATACCAATCTTCCGTTATAGCAATAAGTTTGCTAATTTCATATACAGGTTCTTCAGATGAAGCATTTTTCAGTTTTTTTAAGCACCAGTCATAACCCAATTTGGCTGTGGAGTATTCCTTCTTCAAATGACTTATTCTTGCCAATTTTACGCTTATATGAATAACTCTTGGATCATCTTCCTTTGCACCATCAGCCATTATTCTTTGTGTAACCACTACAAATAATTTTTTAGCTTTATCTAGTTGTTCCCTTTCTAAAGCTAAATTTGCCATAACATCGTAAATATATGTTATACCAAGCTGATTTTGCATTTGTTGAGCTTGTCTCAATGCCACATGGAGTAGCTGTTCAGCTTTGTCAAATTCACTTCTTTGAATAAAAAGTACGCAGTGTTTTATAGTATGAATAAGTTCGTCTTCAGCACTACGCTTTTTATCGAAACCAATCCAGGTAAACAAGGAAAATCCTATAGCACAAGGTAAAATAGTTACGTTAGAGGGAGTTGAGATGATAGGTCGAAATGATGGATAATAATTTTTTTTCATTTGAAGTAATCTTCGCCAAAAATACCTGTACCTTGATGTCATTTTAAATTTTGTAATAACAAGTATTTCAAATGTTTCACTTTTGATTATGTAACCTTAGTAGTAGTTACTCTTAAAAGTATTACTCAGATTTGATAGATTGCATCTTCACATTATAAGTTTTATCCAGATAAAAATGAATGTCAATGTTTAATGGACTATTTACAACATAGTAAATATTGAAAATTAGTGGATATTATTATATTTACTTGTATGTACTTTATCACAATTATAAATATAAAAAACTAGCTAAACTAAATTATTAGATACACAAACCACAAACAAAAGCAAAAGGTCATTTAAGTCATTATAGTCTAGGCTTGGGTAAAAAATATCGAAATTTTCTCATAAAAATATCGATATATATCGACGATATTTTTAATCGCGATATATCGATATTTATTTTAGAGTATCTAATTCATATCTGTCGAAGCGCCTGCTAAAATTAAATAGCGAAAGATTGTGGGCGCCTCGAAATGAAGTTCATCGATGACAGGACAATATCCGACAGCATAATTAACACTCTCTTGTAACGTGGCTACTAGCAGTTAACAGTCTTGTCAAAGTAAAATATTAAAATAATTTGTTTAATACATCTCTTATTTGCCACTAAATGTTAACTAAAGATAGTATCAATTTCGATATATTTTAAAATGTTGTATTAATCTACAAAACATGAAGCAACAAAAGCATTCATGTGTTTTGTAAGTCATGCAAATCATGACGATATGTCGATATTTGTCAAGCGATGTGTATCGATACCGTTTAAAAATATCGATACGATATATATTGATATATTTCTTCACTTGCCCATCCCTGTTAGCCTGCGATAGGCTTGGGTAAAAAATATTGAAATATCCACATTTTATCGAAAAATATCAAAATATAAGCACGATATATCGATATTTGATATTTATTTTGGAGTATCGAACTCGTACCAATTTCAATATATTGTAAAACGTTATACAGGAGCAAAAGCAGCTACTAAAGCATTTAGCTATTGTCGTTTTTTTCGTCGTCAAACCGTCCAGTAATAAAGTTTTGGGCTTTATACTACTACATCATGCAAAACATATATCGATATATATATTCACTTGCTCACCCCTAGCTTGCTACTTCAACTTCTATACGAGTGTTGTCGTCACAAAAATCTGAATTGCCGTAGTATTTTTAATTGTTTACTATTCGTCATTCCTTTCTTCTCCGTAAAGGTTTTAATTGTTTCTATCACTTCAGATTCACGTTTATCTAGTGAGTATTTGCCCCTGCTTCTCATTTTTTACAAAATACTTACTCTAAATATTTATTTTTATATTTTTTGTTCTTAATTAATTTGTTGTGCCTTTTAGTTGAATGATAAATGTTAAATGTAATAAGTTTCCTTTTATTAAATAATCTAATACAAATCACTCACATGACCCATACAATCTTGCACACGTTTTAATATATCACTATCAATACTAAAAATGTTTATTTCGAAATCAAAACATATGCGAAAGTTTTGCTCAAGCAATTCAACAAATGCGATACATTTTTTTGAGGTGTATATATGAGATATTTATCTACCACATTAGAAATAATGAATTATAATCAATATAAATCAATTACCAATTACATTGGACAAAGAGTGTAGAGAGTTGGACTAAGAGTGGACATAGAGGGAATGGACTGTGCGTTCCGTATACAGTTGTGGAATGAATATAGACCGAAAAGTGCGAAAGAGACAAAGCGAATGTGCGGCCAGTAGTAATCTCTTTCTAGAATTCTGATTGGTCCACGTCACTGGCTTGTAGGACGTGGAACAATCAGGCTTGCAGGAAAGAGATAGGTATTGGCCGCACAGTCGCTTTGTGTCTTTCTAGAGGATGGTCATTTTTGTGAGGCTAACGCTCAGTCCATTCTCTATGTCCATGGTACCTATCATACCTAGTTCAGTTGTATGAAGTTTTGTCTCTGTTCTGTTTCACTAGTGAAAAAACGTTTCATTTCACCTTATGGCCAACTACCGTATTTTGCGATACGGTAATGAGAGGCCTGCCGTATGCCGTATTTTCAGGGAAAAATCTTGTATAATATGGCATTTGCCGTAACAATGGCAACGCTGGTCGCTAAGGTATGAAACCCATAGACTTAGGATAGTAATAGACGGCCATAGTGTGCAAGGGAGAAGAAAATTTCTTATGTCAATATAGCAAAATAGAAAAGTATATCAAAAATCATGACTCTGTAACCGATTTTGAATGACAGGACGGCACGCAAGAAATAAGCTCCTAGATATTTTGTAGTTTTTTAGGTGTCGTCTTAATACAACGCTAATGCGCGATCATCTTAAGTTCGCGCGAATTTTAATCGTACGAACACTCGATCAAACATACTGATTTCGAATAGGTGTCCTAATTGGCATTCGCGCGATGGGGTCGCGCGACTTAATTGTTTGAAAATCTATTCGCGTGAACTTAGTTCGTACGAACGCGCGATTGCTGATGAATAGATGTCCGAATTGGCAGTCGCGCGACAATCGCGTCGCGTTGTCGGGCAGCGGGATTAAGGGCAGGGAGCTGAACTGCTCGCGCATGCCAGCCCGCCGCCATTTTAGGTGATTTGTAGATAGCGCAGCGCACGCTTCGTTTGCGGGTTTATTGACAATTGAGATGAGTAATCGGCCAATTCTATGGGATAAACGTAAAGATGACTACAAAAACCGTCTAAAGAGTGACAAAGAGTGGAGTATTGTTGCGAAAATTCTAAATAAAACAAGGGACTATATTATTTATTTATTTATTATTTTATTTACTACATAATATATTGTTTACGATTGATTCGAGAAATAAGTATCAAATTTCTGTCTTGCACTAATCGCAGCTACGCATGTGTGATTATTACGCCTGATTCTGTTTAATGTTCTCAATGAATTGTCCGGTCAACGATTTCCTAATATGATGTGTGTTGATTGATATATTATTTGTCTATATAATAATAATAAACGTTTGTTTCGGACATCATGATCCATATGGGTTAGTAACAATTGAGTTTATAACTAAAGTTAGTAATTGGACAATTCAACATAAAACACAGAAAAATAGTCAAAACACACATACAAACAAACATGGCACCCGCCGCTGCCAGCAAGATGACTACTTGACTGCGTGCAGCCGTATCCATCGAGCAAACATCGGCGAGTCCCAACGGTCTGCCAACGCACACAAGATACTGTTGGGGCTGTCGCGAATGCGCCTGAGGTATGAAGCACAACATTATACATATCTATTAAAATATTGAGCAAGAGACAGATTGTCTTTACTATTTTAATAGGGTTTTGCAACTGATGTCTCGATAGGTTTATAAAGTATTCTAAATTTGGAGGACACCATACCAAATGCGCATTCTACTGAGGATATTCGCATCGGGACTGAGGTGTTTGACGTTCCGATGTCATAAATTAGCCCGGCTACCTTAATTTTTTGAATATTAATTTTTGGTCCGATCTACACAGAATAAGCTTATAGTATCATGAAGTCTTGCAGCGGTATGCTTGGGTTTGGATTTAATTTTATTAATTATAGGATCCCAAGTAAATGGAAACACCCATCCATCTTCTCTATTGAAATTAGGGTGTTTTTTTTTTAATTTCAAAAGACTCGCTAATCATTCTTGGTAGGAATCGGTGGTCTTTTGCGAGGATTTGTGGTTTATCAAATCTAATGTAATTGCGGGGACGATCTTGAACATGTTCACAGACTGCAGACTTCCCGGAACGTCGGTGCTACAAGTCAGCTATATGTTCTTTTACGCGGGTTTTTATAGATCTTTTTGTTTATCCTATGTAAGAGAGACCACTTTCACAATCCAACTTGTACACTTCTGCATCTTATAGACGAGATGCGCAAGTGGGCGGCGCGCGCGAGTGTTTTCGATCTCCTTTTCTATCTTTTCATGCGCGATCTTTCCCGCGCTAAAGCCGATTCATGCGTTAAACAGCGTATGTGTAAGTGTGTAGTAGTGACTGTTTGGAATGCGAAATCTAGTGCGCAGTACATATATATCGATGGTTGGCAACCACATAGTACCTTATTATTACTGAATGAGACCATCTACGAATTTTTCTGCAACCAGAGCGGCGTCACCAGCGAACGAGGTGAAATATTTGACAGATTTTATGGCAAAGGAAGTTAATTTGCTCCAAAAATTCAAGATAAATGTTTTTTTCTGAAATATTAGTTACATTTCATATTAATTAGATTAGAAATGTATAAACTAAACTACGGATATTAATAAAAGTAGAAAAATTTAAAAAAGAGGGAAATGTGTTGCAAAAAATTAAAAAGTAAAACAAAGAAATAAATTAAATTAATAGTAAACAATACAAATCAAATTAATTTAAAAGTAAAAAGTAAGTCAAAGAAAAAACTAAATTAATAGTAGGCATTACGTACTTCAATAATTACGTACGGTCAAGCATTGTCGTTTTGCGTCGTGCGACGTGCATGTCCTTGGCGGGATATACAGCAAGATGGATCGTGTATAAAACGTTTAATATGGTGCTTACGCATACCATAGACTTAAGCGCCTTGTTCACGCTGAATAAGGCGCTTTAGTATATACTGGCGTATAGACGACCTGACAGCCCAAAAACGTGTGACAAGTTTTGATTCGTCATTGTGTGCGTTAGCTAGTGATATACATTTTACTTACAAGGACTATCGAAAAATGATTGTTAAGAAAGCGGTAAAAAGATTTAAAAAAATGTTTTCGTGCAAGAAACTGAATAACATCAAAAATGAACTGAATTTTTGCCATGATATTCTAAAATAATTAAAAATATTCAAATAACATGTTCTCGGGTATAAGCTGAACCTACCTGCCTTTTGTTGGATTTTAAAATATACAAAACCCTATAATCTCTTCATAATATTAATGATTTAATATCATTTATATTATGAATGAGCACTCCCCGTGATAGATGCGATAAAATACGCAAAGAGATGCAACATCTCTACGCAGTG